GCATTATCTTGTTGGAAAGTTGGATCTGCCAGGGTGTCAAGATAGGGTAAAAGATGGGGGGGTTCTAGAACTTCGTGGATATAACGCTGCGCGTTCATGTTACCTCTGATGAAGATTAAAGGTGACCTGGAACCATAAGCTATAGCACCCCAAACCATAACTCCAACAGTGTGATGAACATGTCTTTCAACAAAAAACTGTGGATTCTTCCTTTCACCACATCGCCTTCTGACCCTGGCACGACCATCGTGCATGCCTAAACAAAATCGAGACTCGTCACTAAAGACAATACTGTTCCGTTCCTGATCCCAGAGTGACCGTTGTCTGCACCACTCAAGGCGATTACGTCGGTGTTCTCGAGTTAAAGGGAGGACCCAGTGTGGCCGGTATGAAAACAAGCCAAAACTTCTCATTCGTCGGTAAACACTTCGCATGCCAATAGGTCTTCCGTGTTCTGCAAACCATTCATTTGCAATGGACCTGGTAGTGGAGAAACGGTCCCTTAAGGCCAATAATCTTAGGCGGCGATCTTCACGGTCTGTTGTTCTACGGCGGCGTCCAGTGCCCCTTGCTCTTTGCGTACGGCCTTCTCGAAGCCATGCCTGACAACACCTAACCACAGTGTCTACACTTCTTTGCACTCTAACTGCAATTGCCCGAAAAGAAAGTCCAGCTTCCCGAAGTCCCACTATACGGCCCCTATCAAACTCACTAAGTTGACGAAATCGTACATTTGACGAGTCTTACGAACAGTTAAAATTAATGGTTCAACTTTGAAAACATCCTGAAGAACTACCTCGTACCTCTAAAAGTTTAGAGGAAATCATAGACATTTGGAGAAGTAGTACATAACCATCTGCGAAAAGGCAAAAATAGTATTGTTCCAAGAATCTGAATGATCATATCATTGTTAGATAGTTGGGTCATACGTCTGTCGCTTGATTTCAAAGTGTAATCCTTTTCCAACAATAGATTTAAAAGTCTATATTTGGCCTTGTGTTTGAAGGAGTATTATACTAAAAATATATTCACTAATCTGTACCGGTACCTCCTATAAATAAAAGTCGTTGAAAAACCTTGTCAGGTTTTCAGTGGCAGAACCTGATATTTTTATTGCTTTGAGTAAAAAAATACAAGCATAGTCAGAGGAAAATTTTTATTAGAAAGATTTTAGAAAATTATGTCAAAATGGTGGTGGAAGTTCGAGTAATTTTTATTTCTATCTCTACCACGGACCGGTTTTTTAAAATTACAAAGCTTTTTTGTCCTTGGCGTGTGAAAATCTCATAAAATTTGAGCAGCACTGTCCAAGTTATAGACGTTCCAAATATAAGCGGACAGTCACACAGACCATCGGGATTCAGTGACATGGTTTTTTGTGCTGTACATGTTATATAAGATCCAAAAAAACCTATCCGATTTTCGAAATTTTCCGTGATTACATCACTTTTTCGGCATTGACCGTGGAAAGTAATATTGTAAAACATGTTTCTTTCAAAATCATCGGCGAGACGCCAAGATATTCGCTATTATTCGTAGCATGTGTTCCGCGTGTGCAATGTTTGAATCTAATTTTTTATTTTTTGATTTAAACTATGTGATACTAAACAGTAAGCACGAGGCGCCGGTTTGGTACATCCACCATTTTTTACACTAATATACTGAGTGACATATAAATCCGAACACCCAGTTTAAATGGTTTTATTCTAATAAAAGTTGGTGAATGTATTTATCTTACTGTAAATAACAAGTGAAAAAATTTTCAGCCTTATCAGTTGGACATTCCGGTTTTTATACTGCTTTTTTTTAATTCACTAGCGCTCTAAAAATGTATATTTCAGCCGCAGTAAAGAATCAACGTTGGCGGATGTTGGTTCTTGACATCCTTTGCGATCGGTTACGATGCCTAGAGTACGGAGACCTGTACGATTTCGTCAACTTAGTGAGTTTGATAGGGACCGTATAGTGGGACTTCGGGAAGCTGGACTTTCTTTTCGGGCAATTGCAGTTAGAGTGCAAAGAAATGTAGACACTGTGGTTAGGTGTTGTCAGGCATGGCTTCGAGAAGGCCGTACTTGAAGAGCAAGGGGCACTGGACGCCGCCGTAGAACAACAATCCGTGAAGATCGCCGCCTAAGATTATTGGCCTCAAGGGACCGTTTCTCCACTACCAGGTCCATTGCAAATGAATAGTTTGCAGAACACGGAAGACCTATTGGCATGCGAAGTGTTTACCGACGAATGAGAAGTTTTGGCTTGTTTTCATACCGGCCACACTGGGTCCTCCCTTTAACTCGAGAACACCGACGTAATCGCCTTGAGTGGTACAGACAACGGTCACTCTGGGATCAGGAATGGAACAGTATTGTCTTTAGTGACGAGTCTCGATTTTGTTTAGGCGTGCACGATGGTCGTGCCAGGGTTAGAAGGCGACGTGGTGAAAGGAGGAATCCACAGTTTTTTGTTGAAAGACATGTTCATCACACTGTTGGAGTTATGGTTTGGGGTGCTATAGCTTATGGTTCCAGGTCACCTTTAATCTTCATCAGAGGTAACATGAACGCGCAGCGTTATATCCACGAAGTTCTAGAACCCCATCTTTTACCCTATCTTGACACCCTGGCAGATCCAACTTTCCAACAAGATAATGCCCGACCACATGTTGCAAGAGTAACAATAGACTTCTTTCAACATAATGATGTCACATTGTTACCATGGCCACCAACATCTCCCGACTTATCCCCAATTGAGCACTTGTGGGATATGATGGATAGGAGATTGCTCAATTTGCAACGTCCTCCTCAGACTCTAGAAGAGGAGTTGGTGGTTGCCTGGAATGAGATACCACAGGAGGACATTGACCACCTGATCAGAAGCACGCCTAGGCGCGTTGGAGAATGCGTAGCACATCAGGGTGCATCCACACATTATTAAAGGTCAAAGGGCTTTAAAGCAGTGCAGTCATTTTGAAATTTTTATCATTTACTTATTATGCTTCATTAAGTACTTATACAAAATTTTATTAAAATAAAACCATTTAAACTGGGTGTTCGGATTTATATGTCACTTAGTATAGTTAGCCTTCAAGATTCGCGCATTAAGTGTTGAAATGCTGACGATGACCTGTGCTTTGAGTTTAGAACCAAAACTTGTAACAATAAAATATTTATTTACTCCTTAAACACAATAAGAAGAACGAGTAAATAAATATGAAAGAAGGGTCCATAGGATGTTGCAATTGTGCATAGAATTAAAACGCAAATGATGACAACTAAACAATTTCATATTAATTCACTATTAATTTGTGTATGTCTTACCTTGCTAAAGAAAATGTTCATTCTTTTCATTTTTTTTCAAATTATTTCCAAAGCGTAGGTTCTTTATATTGACAGGTAAATTTACTTATAATCTTGGTCCTAAATAAAGGTATGGTCCATGTGTAATTTGCTAGATCTAGGTGTAACCGTTACTCGTAGTTTATGCCTTGTATGGTGATTGAGTTTGATTCTATGATCACTAGTAGTGTGATAGTTGGTGATAGCATGTCATCCCTTATAGACAAATATGAATATTTACCTAAATACCTTTAGAAAACAAATTCAAACTTCATTGCTCCATAAACAAATGCGTTATTATTATTAAAACTAAATTCCTTGTGTTTACATTATCTGCAATGAACACAATACAAGTCTGAATATAAGAACTTTTTTATGAGAGACAAAAATATGTATACAAATTCTTTTCAACATTAGTTTAGTACAGTTTCGTGTCAGAAGAGGATTAGTTTGCGTTCATCAAGTATTGTGGAATAAGTTGGGTGATTTTAAGTCCATCCCGCGTGGTCCAGAAATCTCTTTCGATATGAAAACTAAGATCGTTGACTTACACAAAGATGGTCAACGTCAAGTCGACATAGCCAAAAATTTGAAGCTGAAGCGTAAAGCAGTTTGGGCAATATTGAACAAAAGGTATTTTGGAAGTATCTAAGAGAAGTGGTCGGCGTAGGAAACTAAATGCTAGATCAGTTAGATTAATAAAAGTAATTTCGTCCAAAGATCCGTTTAAAAACCATAGACAAATAAAAGCCGAAATCGAGACAAAACGAATTATCAGTGTTTCTACGAAAACTATAAGTAGAATATTAAATGATATGAAGTTATTTGCACGTAAGGACCGATTACAGTTTGCACGGTTGCATCTTGATTGGAGCATCTGTGACTGGAAGAGGGTATGTTTCAGTGACGAATCCAAGTTCAATATGTTTGGATCAGATGATGTTTTTTATCTTAGACGTTCTAGTGGACAAAGATTGAACCCCAAGTACACTTTGCCCACTGTCTAACATGGAGGTGGGTCTGTTATGGTTTGGGGGTGCTTTTCGCGGTTTCTGATGGGACCTTTACATAGAATAGATGGCATTATGGATAAGTTTGTATACACAGTCATACTGAAGCATGGCATGTTACCTTATATGGAAGACAATATGCTCTTAAGATCAATCTTCCAGCAAGATAATGACCCTAAGCACACTTAAATCTCGCAAAGAAATTCTTTCTGGATGAAAAAATACCAGTTCTCAAATGGCCTTCACGGTCTGTCGATATAAACCCCATTGAAAATCTATGGGAATACTTTAAATTATTCAAACAAGAATGAACTTTTTGCCGCTTTAGAGCAAAAGTGAAGATAGACTGATGAATCTTATATCAAGAAACTTCTACCATATATGCCGAGACGATGCCAGGCGGTGATTGATAATAATGGTTATGCTACAAAATATAACACAAACATGGTTGGTTTTCTATAATTCAATGAACTTAAATGTGGTTCAATCAAGGTACGAAGATAATGGGCATTGCCATATGTCAAATACGGTTTTTATTTACGTTTCTTCCAATTTCCGGTTGTTCCATTTCGGAGTGTAGAAATGTTTACTTCTTTTTAGATATTCCAGAAAAATTAATCTGATAAAGGATTGTAAGTAGTATAAGTCCGCCCCCCGCCACTGATCAACAACAATTATACAAACAATTCTAAATTTATAAAAGATATGGTATACAAGACTTAATGAAATGTTTATATAAATACATGGCAGATAATCTGACCGGTAGTCAGTAGTGTGAATCGTTAACGCGTAACGTTCTTGTACTTATCATGTCCATCCGGAAGATTTCAACTGTCAAAACAATTCAGGAATACCAAGAACATGTTCACGAGCAATGGGAAAGGTACTCGGAGGCTTTCAAAAGGTACGATTTTGTTGTAGGTAAGCATGAGAACTAGCTCTTTGTGTTGTGGGCTTTAAGCAGCCGATTCTTCTTTTATTCTTCTTCGGTGCAAGCGACATGAACTAGACGTTGCTTGAGGTTATCCTTTTTGAATGACGTACAATAATAGCAGAATCACAAAATGTGATTGAGTTAATTAAGCAGAAAATTAGAAATTTCGTTATACCGGGTGTATCAAATTCGGCCCCAATTGGGGTCAAAGCTGCGCATTTAGGCAACTAACAAAATGACGCTTAGAAGGATTCGATATTCAAAGTGCTTCCGGCGAGAGATGATAAAAACAGAATATTCTCAAAATTTTTCCTGACGTTATTTGTAATGGGATTTCATAATAACATTGCACATTAACATTGCCACTTTTTCTCCTCTACCAAATTAGGCGTAATTAGAATTTCTATTTGACGTTTCGTCTCCTGTCCTCCAGCATCAACTTTATTTTTTTAGGGATGCCATATTTTTGCACAGATGGTCCTTTAAATTATTTACTCTCAGACTCATCTTCGATTATCTTTCGTTTTCTTGTTTCTAGTACGAATTGTTGTCATCTCTTGCCATTATTGTCGATATGAGCGATAAAGATCATACTTTTGATTACTGTTTCTCAATCCTTGTGTTTTTGTTTTGGATGTAGGTATTAGAGTTGTTGATTCTCGTTACTTTCGATTATTTATTGCTGATAGTTACTCTTCTACAGAGTAATCATTTATTGTATTCGTTACTTTGATTACTATGAGTAGTAGGAGTATAACGATTTGGCAACGAGCGTCGTGTAATTAATGAATAATGTCGAATTTGAAAAGCTTTAATGGAACGATTATATTATGCTTTAGTTTGGCAAGTTGTCTTGTAAATAAATAAACAACCTACAATATTGTAAGAATGTTTAATCACAATTTATTTATACCTGGGGATAGGTTATTATCGGAAGGGTGTCATATAACTCATATTGTGTATAAAAACTGAAAATACTTTGTATTTACTAGAAACGCTTCAAAAGTCTTTTAGTTAGAAAGTTGATCTGTACACAGGGTGTTCCTTAATGATATGCGAATATTTAAGGGTGTGAATCTACATAAAAAGTTAATGTTAGTTTGCTTTATAAACTACGGTCCAAAAATATTTTCTTATAAAAACTCGGGGTCTTGAAGTTTTAGGAAAAAATGGAAATTAATTAATATTTACAGAGCAGCTTCAGATATTTCACTGATATTTAGTACGCAGTGAAAGTTAATAAGGCTGCATATATTTCAATGCAAAAATAATTTTTAGCTTTAACAGTGGCGTGCGTACGGGTATTGACTCCGATATTCTTTAAGAAAAAAATGGTACGCCAATGGTTTTTTGCCAAATAAAAATTAGTTTTGAATTTCCCGTTCAATTTAAAACAAATAATCTCTCTTGAGTTGTTTTCCTTCCATGCGCCATTTTTGAGTAAAAAAATAAAAACCGTTCTATTGTCCGAGAAAATTAATGTATACTAAGTGACATATAAATCCGAACACCCAGTTCAAATGGTTTTATTTTAATAAAAGTTGGTGAATGTATTTATCTTACTGTAAATAACAAGTGAAAACATTTTCACCCTTATCAGTTGGACATTCCGGTTTTTATACTGCTTTTTTTTAATTCACTAACGCTCTAAAAATGAATATTTCAGCCGCAGTAAAGAATCAACGTTGGCGGATTTTGGTTCTTGACATCCTTTATGATCGGTTGCGATGCCTAGAGTACGGAGACCTGTACGATTTCGTCAACTTAGTGAGTTTGATAGGGGCCGTATAGTGGGACTTCGGGAAGCTGGACTTTCTTTTCGGGCAATTGCAGTTAGAGTGCAAAGAAGTGTAGACACTGTGGTTAGGTGTTGTCAGGCATGGCTTCGAGAAGGCCGTACGCAAAGAGCAAGGGGCACTGGACGCCGCCGTTGAACAACAGACCGTGAATATCGTCGCCTAAGATTATTGGCCTTAAGGGACCGTTTCTCCACTACCAGGTCCATTGCAAATGAATGGTTTGCAGAACACGGAAGACCTATTGACATGCGAAGTGTTTACCGACGAATGAAAAGTTTTGGCTTGTTTTCATACCGGCCACACTGGGTCCTCCCTTTAACACGAGAACACCGACGTAATCGCCTTGAGTGGTGCAGACAACGGTCACTCTGGGATCAGGAATGGAACAGTATTGTCTTTAGTGACAAGTCTCGATTTTGTTTAGGCATGCACGATGGTCGTGCCAGGGTTAGAAGGCGACGTGGTGAAAGGAGGAATCCACAGTTTTTTGTTGAAAGACATGTTCATCACACTGTTGGAGTTATGGTTTGGGGTGCTATAGCTTATGGTTCCAGGTCACCTTTAATCTTCATCAGAGGTAACATGAACGCGCAGCGTTATATCCACGAAGTTCTAGAACCCCATCTTTTACCCTATCTTGACACCCTGGCAGATCCAACTTCACAACAAGATAATGCCCGACCACATGTTGCAAGAGTCACAATAGACTTCTTTCAACATAATGATGTCACATTGTTACCATGGCCACCAAGATCTCCCGACTTATCCCCAATTGAGCACGTGTGGGATATGATGGGTAGGAGATTGCTCAATTTGCAACGTCCTCCTCAGACTCTAGAAGCACTTCGAGAGGAGTTGGTGGTTGCCTGGAATGAGATACCACAGGAGGACATTGATCAGAAGCATGCCTAGGCGCGTTGGAGAATGCGTAGCACATCAGGGTGCATCCACACATTATTAAAGGTCAAAGGGCTTTAAAGCAGTGCAATCATTTTGAAATTTTTATCATTTACTTATTATGCTTCATTAAGTACTTATACAAAATTTTATTAAAATAAAACCATTTAAACTGGGTGTTCGGATTTATATGTCACTTAGTATAATAATTGAAGAATGCAATTTAGCAATAAATATCTACTTGCTCTGGAATCTGTCACTGGCTTTTGACGTCTGTTATTCCAATCTGTTCGCTGTGACATCTTTTTCATTATTTAGTTTTTACAATCTTGTTAATAATGGTGAATTATTCAAATGCAGAAATGGCGGAAATGCATTACGTATACGGCCTTGCCGACGGTAATTGTGAGCAAGCCAGACGGATTTATCACCAGAGATATCCCGATCGTGCTTTGCCAGATAGTCGAACATTTTCTAATATTCATCGTCGTCTTGTTGAAACTGGTTCTGTCCGAAAACGAACATCAGAAGCTGGATCTCCAAGTGTGTGAACACCTGAAATTGAGGGAGCAGTGCTGCACGAAGTCGAAGAACATCCTGAAATGAGTACGAGGAACATCGCTAGATACTTAAATATTTGCCATCGAATTGTTTGGAGAATTTTAGTGGATTTTTTGTTATATCCTTACCATATTTTAGAGTACAGGCATTTAAGTCCCATTGATTTTCCAAGGCGCGTGACATTTGTCAAAAATTTACACAAAATCCGCAATTTGAATCAATGATTCTGTTCACGGACGAAGCTAATTTTTCTCGAAATGCCATTCAAAATTTCCACAATAATCATTTGTGGGCAGAAGAAAATCCCTATGCTGTAACCGAAACTCATTTCCAACACCAATTTTCGGTTAACGTATGGGCAGGAATTATTGACAACCACTTTTTTGGCCCATTCTTCTTGCCGGGACAACTTGACGGACAGACTTACCTCAATTTTCTTCAACAACAGTTACCTTTGCGGCATGATCATGTTCCGTTAGTAATAAAAAAAAATTGTGGTACATGCATGATGGTGCACCAGCGCATTTCAGTGTAGCGGTTCGTAATTATTTACAAACTGTTTCTCCCAATAGTTGGATCGACCGCGGTGGGCTCCAAGAATGGTCAAGAATGGCCACCAACGTCCCCAGAAATAAAGAGAAATAATAGTTGCAGATTATCAGAATAAAAAACATTCCAGGGATATTTCAACCAGTGCACAATTCCATGAGAAGGAGGGCGGAAGCATGCATACTAAGTGAAGGGGCCATTTTCAACCATTTTTGTAATCATTTCGTTGGTTTTAGTGTTATGTTTATGTTGTCACTTGTTGTTGTTCATTACCCCTAACGTGTTTAATTTTTCCAATTAAATTATGTATATGTATGTACTGTGAAGTACAAATCATACATAGTTTATGTATGTCGAATTTAGTAAATTAAATAACAATAGAGAGCTTACGTTTTATTATAAAATTAAGCATAATTGCACATACGTATTTACTAAAATAATCAAGAATTATTAATCAAAATCATTCATGAATTTATCAAATTATGAGAAGCTTGGAAATATTCATCAATTTTTTTTTGTTTAAGGTTGTTATAACGCGAGATCAGAGCTTTGTCCCTCAGTCTTCTCAAAAGTAAAAGTTCGTTGTAGGATGTACCATTCTCTTCAGCCCATTGTAAACCTAGCTCAAAGGCGTAAATTGCGTCTTGTGCTGTGACTTGTGGAGCAGTTGCAATCACGTCGTCGTTATTTTCCTGATTGTTTGTTGTATAATTAGAAACCTCTTTTATAATCTCTTCGTCAGACATTTCTTGAAAAACATTTTCCTCTTTATCCATTCCATGGCACCAGATTTACAAATCTTCCGGATTTATCTGTGTTTCAGTAGCGACTTGTTTTATAACTTCCGAAGTAACACTGATTTGTGGAACGTTGCTAGGAGTGGTGATGACTATATCTGGCCATAACTTTTTCCAAGACGATTTAATAGTTGATGACGGGAACGCATTTCACGACTGACAAAGAACAAAAACCAAGTCTTTCATATTAAATTCTTTTAAAGTTTTTTCTATTGGTTGGTCTTTTGATACGGCTCTCAGAAATAGGTTCTTGTTATAGTCTTGCTTGACAAACTGAATGATATTCTGGTCCATTGGTTGAATCAGTGCAGTGCAATTTGGCGGAAGAAAAATCGCAGTGATGCATTTATCCTCAGTTGTTAGTTCT